TTTTCTATTGAAAGGATATTGTCCCAATTGGTATTCGACAGTATATTATTAAATTTAGTATAATTGCCTTCATCGTATTTCCAATATGTGCCTTTTAAATGACGGATGTTTCGGTTTAGTTTGTTTGAGTATAGTGACTATAGGACAGTGATATCTAACTTGGTCTGAAATAAACGGATCAGAAACAAAACTTGTTAATATCGAGTTGGGATTTTTAACTATAAATAAATCAATAAGGGAACTAGATGATTCTGTAAAGTGTGTCGGCTCTGCGATTATTTGGTGCATGTTATATGATGACAATAGATTATTAAGTTTGTGTTCTTCAGGGTTAAGTAAATTGCAGTTGAAATCACCTGTGATAATTATGTTTTGATAATTTGTGTTGTATGCCCTATCGAAACTTTCTTCGAGAAGAGTCCAGTAGTGATTATTTGCACTCGGGGGACGGTAGAACGCACCCAACAAGAACGATTTTGAATTATGTGTTATTTCAAGCCAAATAGCCTCGAGATCAGGAAGTGAAAGGTCATTTCTTATTTTTCCGAAAATACCATTTCGTAAGTAAATTGCTACACCTCCACCTGTTCTATTTGGGCGGTCGTAACGAAATGGACTATCAAAGTTTGGAATTTTAATATCTTCATTTTTTATATCAGAGGAAAGCCAGGTTTCGGTGAATACTACAATGTCATATGGTTGTGCTTCAATTTCAATTAGATCGATTTTTGGGCGAAGACTTTGAATGTTGATATGCATTATGCTCAATCCACTATTCAGTATATTATAGAGAGGAGAATCTACATCGTTAGACTCGGAGATAGAGGAGTTTTGCGAGCCTGGTTCCGGACCTGGGTTTGGATGAACTGAGCCAGAAATAAAAAGTAATAAAATAAAATATGATAGGAACAGGGGAAGAATTGATTTATGGAAGACGAGGAACTTGTGTAGAGACCTATTATAGTGCATTAAAAATTGAACGTTAAAATTTATGATAAATGTCGCCATGTGTCGCGCAATAAACATTACTTCATGTGATAACGTCAAGAGCTATGATATAGAGTTCTGTATCAGCGCGACACAACATCTCACAGTGCAAGAACATGACAGAACGCTTCAAGCAATTAAGTGGTCTGACAATTAACATATAATCTATACAGTAGCAAACAAATTTTACAATAAAATAATGTAAAGGGATCATAACAGGTGACACGATTTTAAAGAAAAAATGAAAAACTGAAATAGGATATCAAAATAAATAAATAAGTAGAATTGAGTAGATCTAATAAATAAAGATAAGTAGAGACGGACCTGATTGATATTCTCGATTTAGATGACGCACATGGGATGTTGAAATATAATAAGTTATTTTGTAAGAACAGCGGCTTATTAACAATGTACTATTGATATATTTTGAAATTACTCTAAATAGAAATACAAATTAAAACAAGAGTACACATAAAACTATAGTTCTGACAAAATAGAGTATATGTACTATCCTTCGATTTGTAACGTATACATGAAAGTAGGTGTAACACACAGTGCAATGTTTCATAGTCAAGTAAAATTAATAATATAGTCAGGTGGTTAAAGTGGCATGCCTCCAGTTTCTAATATTCGTAAAAGAAAATATATTAAATGGTAAAATAATCAGCAAAAACTTAAAATTTAGTTTACATATATTTCCTTCGTTAAATTTTTGGTGAGGCTAGACTAAAATATTTCATAGAAGTCGATAGACATGATCCATTTTTCTTTTTGATTTATTTTTTCTAAATTTAAATAGGTTAAAAATAGTTAATAAAAGTTTGCTCGAGCCTTAGATTAAATTTTGTTAATGTGTATATTTATACATGTATATAAGTTTACATACAATGACAACATTTAGTAAAATTCAATACATATGTTTGTGTAGACACAAAAACAATTCATTTTGTCAGACTATAAAACTCTGGGGAAAAAGAGAGAAAAAAAAAACAGCAACAAAACTATTTTGCAAAGCAAAAAGGCGGGTAAATCAAGTAACACGAATTCATTAATGCATTAGATTTACGTCCCTTGATCTGCTCGGGTTATCTTATAAAATAGTTTTATCAATAGTGATGCAAACAAGATTTACAAATATTCAGAAAAGGTATTACAAATAACAATGCACTAACATTATATACATTATCAACAGAATATTGCATATACAAACTTTCAAAGATGCATGTATAGGTGTAGTATGTCAAACTATCATTTTACTTGGCAGTATACATTTATGTAAGGACATTCAGCATGTACGTACACTACTTTAATATTTTGATATATACCTATACTAACAACAAAAAAGCATGTAATGAGTGTGTGTATATCGGACCAAAACAGCAACTCAAATAACGAAATATAGGACAGATTTGACTGAATCGACTTTGTTAATTAAAATGTCATATTGACTATTTGGAAATTATTTTGAACAAAACAACAAAAGTTACTATCACAACGCGGCTGTATGCTAGCGTTATAGTTGAGTAGCCAATTTTACTATAACGATAAGTTAGTGAATAAAAAATCTCGTGCGGATTCACGTAGTTATGTAGGGCATACACTCTATTTACAAAGGTTACATAATATAAAGAGTACACGTTATAGTGTTGTATAAATACAGAATGTAAACATTTTTTATGTAGGTCAAATAATAAAATTTTTGCTAATCATATTGAAACAAGAATTGTTGTGCAGATCGGGTTAAGACCGACAGCTTAAGTATTTTATAATGCTGTGTTTAAAAATAACAAGTTCATATGTCGATAATTCTAGTTACGAGAATTAATTGAGGGTGACATGTATTTCGAACTACTAGGAATTACAAATATATTTGAAAGCAGTGAAGTTTGATTTATGATTTGAATATTGATCCGTCTTTGATTGCTTCAATAGTTCTCATACTCTTGATGTGGACCTTCGCTCCTTGTTCAGATTTACCAGTCATAGGGTTCGTCGTCGTCGGAAATTGCGCAAAGACTTTAAATCCAGATATCCAAGTTTTTTGGAGAGTTTTGGCGCGAATGAGTTGACGAGCCTCATAAGACAATTTTTCACGATACGGTGTAATATTCTGTTGCACAAATATACCTGATCCGAGATCTTTCCTTGCGTTGTACACGCGTTGGCATGCGGCATGATTTGAAAATTTAACAATACACTTGCGATTGACGCTGAAGCCCTCCTTAAACTTGCCTTTTCTGTGAGAAACAAGTATATCTGAGGGGTCAATTTCAAGAGTGGTACCTTCACTTGACTTCCAGTTCTTGAAGTGGCTTAGAATTTTTCCTGTAACATTCTCGTTAGGATCGTTGGTATCCCCCGGAATTCCGGATATGTCAAGGCATAACCTTCTACTGTATTGCTCGACCTCATCAGTTGCCAAAAAGTTGTCGAGCGATGCCTGCTGCAATTCAGCATGTGCTTTTTTAAGGGAGGATAACTCGTTTCGGAGAGATAAAGTTTCACTGTCTACTGCTTCTTGGACTTCTTTTATGATTTCAGATCTAAGTTCTGATTTTATTTCAGCTTTTAATTCAGTTTTGATTGACTCGATAAGATCAGCTTTAAGTTCTTTACCTAATATTGACACAAGTTCTTTTAGGTCTTCGCGACTTAATATTTTCGTCATTGTGAGATCAAGTTCCGGGGTATGGGGAATATAAATAGAATTTTCCTCCCAGCTTTCAGTTTCTTCGACGAAGCTGCCGTCTGCTATGAATTGGTTGGGTTTCTGTTTTTTAGTTTGCTCACACGGGGAAGATTTAGTTCGTTCCCGTTTCTTAGGCATTGATATAAATAAAAGGTGAAACGTGAAATCAGGTGTAATCAGGTGTAAACTCGCGTACGAGTGTACCCGTGTGTAATCACTGACGTGTTGACGTGTTTACTAAAAGTTGGCTAATAGTACGTCTATTGTTCAAATAATCATCAAATACACTTCATGTCACTTATACAGTTTACTATGTTACCATCTAAGCAAGATTTCTGAGCAATGGCCCGTCTAAACTTACTCTAAAACTAACTTTTTATCATTGATTTTTCTCCGGTAAACAAAAAACCGCCATCTTTCCCAACACCGGAAATCGAAAAAAAAAAAAAAAAAAAAAAAAAAAAAAAAAAAATGTTATAAATAGATTTAGAATGTTAAGACATTTTACGTTAGATGGATTTTTATGGGAGAAATGTTTAGATAAATATGTATATAATTGCAATCACATGTGTGTGTGTGTGTTTTTATTCTGGTTTTGAAACGGAATGTAACACATTCTATTATATCTTGGCGGTAGATCTACGTAACCAGCTTTCTTTGATAAATAGCTTCTTCGAAAGTGAACTGGCGATAAGAAAAAACTCAACAATAGTTTCAATGTCCGAGATAAATTCATGAAGAAATTTCGCCTCGTCCAATGTTCGAACCAGCGACCCCAACCCAATAGTCTTTTTATAACTTTTGAATGGAGTTCAATATAAAAGTACTTTTATAAATTGAATTTAATTATAAGAATTTTGAAATGTATGTAAACAAAGGTGACTCTCACACTATGTTTTATATCGTGGATTACTGATGTGTGTTTACTTTACGATAACTATATTCTAAAATATATTTGTCATTATCAAAGAAAGCAAGTCATTCTATCCAACATTTGAAGTATTGTTATTATATAACCACAAAGACTTGGAAATAAAAGGTTGTGTCAATGTTTGTTGTATTTTTTGAAGGAATTATACCATAGGAAATAATTTTATAATAAATCAATGACATCTTTAATTAAAGCGTTTAAAATGAAATTTTAATTAATTTCAATTAAATCTGATAACCTTAAGAAAATAATCGTAGATAATAAGAATAAAAATAACAATTCCTGTTCATCGGGATATTAGAGTATTCATAATAAGTTGATAAACCGATAAAAAACATGTTAAACGGAATATACCAAGGAAAAAAATTATGTCGTGTTGATATAATAATAATTAGTACCTGAAATTGAAGTAGCAATTACAGTTGAAGTTATTAAAGGCTGTCTGGATGCTGTTGTTTTTGATGTCTTTATAGAAGATGGTTCTGTTTTGACTGAACTGAATATTTCTATAGAACAGTATAACATTTAATTGTGAATAATTGAAACAGTGACTCACATTTTAACCTATATATAAAAATCTATGCAATTAATAATATTGATATAATGAAATATAAATATAACATTAAATGCACTAATAAAGAAACACCCACCGACGTGTATGGAATGCGTTTACCTTATTGTAAAACACCATTTCAATCCATTGAGCGAAAATAACAACAGAGGTAAGAGTGAAAAATAACAAGATGAAATAAAGTTGCAAAAGGAGATAAAATAAAAATGATTAGAACCTTTCACTATCGCTTCAATAAGCCTAATACTAATTTAAATGAGATATACGAAACTGTAAAATATTTTTGTTTTAAATTTAAACAGAATGATTGTACGCTTTCTGACAAATAACGAACGTGTTGCTTATGTTGCATATTAAACTTACTTTCAGAACAGTTTTTGCCTGAATATCCAGGTAAACAAATACATGTATAGTCATCAATTTCATCAATGCATATATCTGATTTATAACATGGAGAGGGATTACAGTCGTCTGTAATGAGAAAGTAAGACATTTAAATCAGAGTAAATACCGATACATGACAGGACATCTTAAGTTACTGAGAAATCACATTTTAACAGACATACAAACACATTTTATTCTATAAAAGTACTTTGGAAATTTTCTTTTTGGCAATTCAAAAAGATAATGTTGCAAATTACACGAAGCCGATATGTTGCTTCATAAACTATCCAGAGAAACGAAGACATGTATAGTCCTCAGTTCCATCAATGCACATATCTGCATTAAAACATGGGAAGGGATAGCAGTCGTCTGTGAATGAGGAAACATGACATTTTAAACAGAGGAAATACCAAATCATGACAGGATATTTTAAGTAACTGAGATTTCACTTTTTCAACAATTAGATAAACAGATTTCTTTTATACAGGTACTTTGGACGTTTTCCTTCACAATTAAAAAATATAAACTTGTAAACTACAGGATAGCCGATATGTTGTTTAAACCTAAAATATCTATTACAGTATGTGTAGGCAATCCGATTCGAAGGCAATCTGAATCACATCATTTATTTTTTTTATTCATCAGTAAAAACAAAATCATATATTCCTACTGATCCACAGACAAAAGAATCAGTTGATATAAGTTTTAAAAATCAGGACTTGTGTGTAAGGAAAAATATGTTTTGAGTGATCCAGAACTACTTGAATGGCAAGTTGTTTAGATAGCCTTTGTTTAAAATGATGCATTAATAATTTCAAATGGCCTTTTCTGTAGTCACTGTTTAATGTTTGTTTATTTTTTGAAATAATGAATATCTCTTTTTACATGTTGATTTCTATTTTTTTTTTCATCAGTATTTAATGTCAAGATTTCAAGAAAACTTTGATAAACAGTGTGACAATTTTACGATGTTTTGAAAAACATGACATCTGCGTCTATAAGATAATGTCATATGAATGTAACAACCTAAAGCACTTAAAAATATTGCAAAAATAACGCTTTTCATAAAGTGATTCCGATTGCCTACACTGACTGTATTTATAATATTTTATTCAATACATTTCATTTCATGTTAGTCAGACAAATTTTTATCGACGCCTGAACCCCAATGTATTTCCCTCAGAATGTTGTGCTCAAACTAAGGAATGTTTTACATCATGATGATATTAAATAAAATATGACAGGGGAAGAATACAGAGATATTTTATGGTTAACGAGACAATGCAATTTGTCGGATTAAATACTTTTTCTTGGTGCCCCTAAATAAATCATTATTCTATTTGTTCAGTTAGATTTGTATTAATTCCAATCGCTTTTAGCTATTGCCAGTCGAAATAAGAATTTGGTTCTTATTTATAACCTTTTTTACCTATAGCTGCACAAGCACTTTTGGATGCATTCCAATAATTTGATCTGTGTTTATCTCCCTTAAGACATCGAATTATTGCATAGACTTTTAAAGCGTAGCCTTTATTACATTTATACGTTCCTCGTGTCCGATCCACAAACTCAATAGAGCCATACGGAGGATTAATCGGTACATCATTACACACTGAAAGCAAACAAAAATAACAAGCACGTGATTAACATATTAAAATCAAATACAAATAGCCAGTAAAATACGCTGCGAAAAAGGAGAAACATCTAGTACACTGAATCTAGTTTAATGTTACATACTGCAACAAAAAGAAATTGCCATGTCAATATTGCTTACTAACAACAAAACGAATTTGTCAATTTAGTATTACATACTTCAACAAAGACAAATAACCAGTAATTCATAACATCCTGCAAATCAAGATCAATAACTATTTCAACATTACATTCTGCTAGTAATGAGAAATTGCCTTTTCAACATTATGAGCTGCAACAAAGAGAAAATGTCATTGCAACATTTCATACTGCAACAAGAGAAACTGCCAGTATTATAATTAAACAACTGAAAAATACAAATACCTTGTACATAATTACGTATATATCAAATTACTAATTGCCAGTAAATCATTGCATATTGGAAACAAGCAAAACATACCAGTAAATGGTAAATACGAAGGGATATTGCTAATTTATCATTTACATATTACAAGTCAAGTGAAGTGAAATTGTCTGGACACAATTACATATTGCAAGTGAAGATAAATTGCCAGTACTGAAATTACATATCACAAGCAAAGAGAAATTTTCAGGGCACAATTACATATTTCAAGCCATGAGAAAATTGCAAGCCAAGGGAAAGTTTCAGGACAAAATGACAAATTGCAAGCCATGAGAAATTTTCAGGCAACAGTTATAAATTGCAAGCCGAAAGATATTTCCAGGACAAAATTACACCCTGCAAGCCAAAAGAAATTTTTATAACAAAATTACAAATTGCAAGCAAAGAGAAATCACCAGTACATTTTTACACACTGAATACAGAAAAAAGCCAGAGTACATCATAACATATGAAAACAAAGAGATTGTCTGTACATGATTACGTACTGAAAAATATGATAAACAAGATCAACAAGGAAAGGCGGGGTTCAATGAACGCAACCCCCACACGACCCAGCAACAAGAACCAGTGGCAAGGAGCCCAGGCGGACCCAACAAAAACAGGACCAGGCACGGACAGGTTAATCACTAAAATGATTAATGATTTGTAACTAATCAGGAATTCAAAAAAACAAATAAATGATTGAATAATAGGAAATAATTTGAAACTGATAATGGAAACAAATAAAAGATTGAATAATATGCCCACAAAGGGCATAGGGAGACAGGAGACCGGGGAAAAAGGGGGGGGGGGGTAAATCAAAGAAATAAAAACTAGGGGCAAAGGGAAAGATACTCACCGTAGACGAGAAAACAACAAGGGACATAAGCAAATGTGTCACCAAAACAGTATGAAACAACATAGACATACATCTGATCATGAGGAACACAGAACAATAGATCTGGAAAGGACATTATAACACATGAAAACAAAAAACTACAGCTGGTATATGCTAACATTCTGTATCAATCAAGAAATAGATTATAGGTCATAACACGATATAAATCGAATGTGTATCGCTCAAGATTTATTAAAATATGATAAACAAGATCGACAAGGAAAGGCTGCGTTCAAGAACGCAGCCCCACCCGACCCAGTAACAAGACGTATTAAGACGTATTCTCATTACTCATTACATTTCTCATATTCTCATTATTAAGACGTATTCTCACGAGTCCATGGAATGAATGACGTCATATGATATGACGTCAGATGTGACATCAATACACCAAATGTGGTTAATCATTATGGATAAAGCAGTATAATCATTATTGCAAAGTGCAAATATGGTAAATATATGTGGTTAATTATGGAGAAGTAGCAGTTACTTTCGAAAAATACGTATATCGTATGTATACTTCGAAGAAGAATACCATTAATGTGGTTAGCCAATACATTGTTCACATAAGAAGAAATGTTCAGACGAATTATTATTACAGAGTGCAAATTATGAGTACTAAAATGTACAGGTTAATGTCTGCAAATAAGGAAACTTGGTGTTATAATTCCATAACATACAGTAAAATAGAAGAAATATAGTTGATATGCTATCACATATTGAAAATAAAGAAAGACATGAGATCCATCAGAACTGCAAATTTAGCATATTACTTGGTTCAAAAATAACTTGCTGTAGCTTTAAATAAGGAAGCGATTCCATTTCAATTTATAGGAAACAATCAATCATACCACAGGCTTCATATCTGGGCCCGTATTTACAATCAGTTGGATCTGTCTCTGCACCTCCGAAAATAAATCCTGAAAAATTTTGGACAAAATTTTCGTTTAAAAAATATAATAGTAATATAATTTGAGGGGAGAAATTAAAGAGGATTTATGTCACAATATAAGTTTTGCTTGATCTATTCTCATTAGAATATTCAATACGTTAAGTATCAAGTTTATTAAAATAAGTAATAAAAAATTAGAATTTAGAAATCTTAACTAACTATGCAAATTTACATACCATGGAATAGAAAAAGAATATACAACATGATTTTTATCCATATCATATTATAAGACTGACATCCATGCACAAATAACGTCATCGTCACTTGTTGATGGTGATTAATTTTATTTACAAATAAAACTACTTTTATTTCGCTTCAAATATGACAATAAAATCCGTAAAGTGATAAATTCGTTATATAGAAGTAATGTCGTATGATTGAATAACCAGGCATGTCATTTAAATGTTTGAATTCTATAAGAATGTAAATTTTATTATGATAATGTTGCTTAAATGTTGACCGTATAGTTCATTTAGCACACCAGATCAATGTCAATTAACACTTTTATGCTTAAACGAAACCCTTTTTATTCCACATTAATCTAGATTATAATTCTGTTAAGCACATAAAATAAAACTTTAATTTAATGAGTTAATGCATCAGTTTTCTTCAGTTTTCTCCAATACGAAATAATCATGATTCATTTCTTCGTGGTTTTCATGTTCCTTTTCACCGAGTTCATCTTCAACAACATAAAAGGATTTCATATCTACTGCTGGGTCCGGTCCTAAGGTGAAATAGTCATGTGTTGTGCCATCAGATATCTGTTGTGTTTCCTGCGCAAATTTAGACACTCCACTGCTACCAAGATCGTCAATATTTTTTGCAAATTCATAACCTGTATCAAGACAAGTGTCTTTGGATAGCTTAGTAGTGTCTATTGCACTGGTTTTGTTTCTGTCATCGTATTTTTTACTATCAGCAGATTCTTCAGATTCTTGTGATGCCGACTTCGAAGTAGCTTCACAAGCCAGATGCGAACAGTTGTTCTCTTCATATTTTGGATCTTGACCTCCGGAATGAGCATGGTTATATTCTGTGTCAGTGTCTTCGCCGTCTTGTACTCTTTTCTCCGTCAGAATCACAGTGTTCAACTTGTTGTATGTCTCAAAAGTATCCTTCCAGCTCATTTCAGGTTTATTTGACGCATCAACTGCGTTCGATTGTGCGTATTTTTTATCGAATTGTATGCTATTTGCCCCCTTTCCAATATCTATATGAGAGTAGTTCGTATCATTCGTACCAACGAAGTCCGTGTCTGATAGCTTAATATGTGCATACGATTTGTTTCTGTCAGTTTTATCATCATTTGGTTCCTTTATTTCTTGATAATCATCTCCCATGGAATTGTCAGTATTCATGTTATCTAAAGATATTTCTGCATACTCATCAACTTCAGACTGACGTATATCATCCATGGACCTATGTCGATCTATACCGCTTGCTTTGTATGTCTTATTTGTAATCAATGTACCCGGGTCTCGTTTCCTTAGTGTTCGCAGCGTACCAGAGAGATTACATTTATTATGTCTGTAATATAAACAACCTGGTATCATTCTATATTCTAGAAATGCTATTTATCTGAGCAGATTTTATAATATAGTTGATTACAGGAATTATTCCAATGCGTAAAAATAGATATCCTATAAATCACAAACTATTTAGTCGAATTGCTGCAGGCGTGGTGATATATTTTTTTTTAATATTTAATTATCTTTAGTAGTCTCTAAAGTTTCAAATTAATATTCTATTCTATTTGATATGAACCTCTTATGTAACACTTACCGCCACCAAAGAAATAAAAGAAGCACCATCAAAACAACAAGACAAGAGGCAACTGGAGCTGCAATGTATACAGCGTTTATCTCTGGAAAGAAATTCAAATAACTTTAAGTAATACCACATAGGTGAATTTCGTACACGAATATTGTGGATTTTCTATTCAAACGTTTGGCGTATTTCATTTATGAGTTTTTGACGTAGCATTATACCAAATCTTGTTTGACACCTCTGTATTCATAAAGAAAGCACTAAAGATAATGTCAGGTAAAAGTAAATATGATTGATCCTTTCCCATAATACTGTGTAGGCAAATTGTTTTTTGTTTTATAAAATTATTGTATTTTTTTTAATTATTTTTTGTTGGGTTTTACGTTGCATCAACCTAGTAATTTCGCCTCACTAGCGACCCATAATCCAATACTCTCCTTATTTAGCTAAGCAGGAGAATATTTGCAATAAAAAATCATTAATAATTCTTGAATGTATCTATATAAAACTATTTTGATAAACAATAAATTAGATTATGATGAAGTTAGAATGTATGAAAACAACGCTGACTGTCTTACTATGTTTTTATGTCGGGTATTATAACTGCTGTGTGTTAAGAAGATAATTCTAAAATACATGTATAGATGTCAAAGTAAATCTTCAAATGTTTAAAATAAAATTATCCTATAATTGAAAAAATGATATGTCAAAGTATGTTGTTTTTTTTTTTATATTTTGTATATCTTTTTTTGTGATAATTCTATTCAGTATAGGTCATATGGCGACTTTCCAGTTTAACTGGTGGTAGAAGACCTCAAGTGCCATTTTATACATTAATTCAGGCACAAACCACTGGTTTTCCGTAAGCTTGTTAGCTTCAGCACATGAAAGTATCTGAAGTGTTTGTTGGGATAAAAGCCCAAAGCAGTGAGGGCGGAGTGGTTTGAAGCCAACGACATAAACCACTCGGCCACGAACACACAAAAAAACTGACTTAAGAAAGCGTTTTAAGCAAATAAATATTCCTAATATAATATCTAACATGATATGACTAAAACCCATATTTTTTTTAAAATAGAACTGAATGATCAGTCACTTTTAAAAGTGTTTATCTATCTTTCCGAAAAGTTATAGCTGTTATATTTTGTATAACAATATTAGAACTATCTTTATATCTTCACCCTAAAGTATCATTTATGCATCAGAGATCGTGAAAGTTTAAATCATATATGTACCATTAAGTATCAAGAGTAGCATCAGTACAAAGACTTGATTTTTGCATTAAATCAATTTAAAACATACCCGATTTTTTCTGTGGAACTTGCGGGGCAGTCACTGTAAAATAGAGAAAAGCAGAACCCTTAAAGAAACACGTCAAAATTGAAAATGTTGCAGGCTCGGTTTGATTGAGCCTGTTCATTACTGCCTCCTAGCACCAGCTTAAGCAGACTTCAATATTAAATCTTACAATAAAAGGTTGCATTTAACATATGAATATATCATATATAAACGAATATATTTTTCGACAGTTTTCGTTTGATGTGTAAAGATCATTTACCCCTCTACACACTGAGCATTATTATTTTGTCTAACTTCTTTGACTTTGTAAAGTAAAATTCGGTAAACTATATTTGTGCTTATATGGAAATATCTTCAAGCGGTGCTTGCAGTATGGGATTCTTTATCAACAATTAATAATTCGAATTTTGAATATGTTTGAGAAGATATATACGTAAATGCATATGGTATTGAGAGAGATTCTAAATAAAGTTTATTACGTTACATTAAGTCACTTCACCATTTCACAATGATGTCATTAACAGATTCTGCAATTTTCATGTTATTTTGCTGCTTTTAATGCTTCCGAGGGATCACTTCTTTGACACATATTTTTTATCATCATGCTATGATATCTTCTGGAACTTATAATGATTAGCCTTTACCATTAGAATAGATCGAGGCTAGTCTTCATCCCCCAGGCTCTATACTGTGGGTACCATAATTCAGTATATTTTGATACTTTATTCCCTTAAGATTTGAATGAACGGTTCCAACTCAAATCAAGGCAAGTTAATGACACAAATTAAGCAGGTTAAGGATTAAATACATAATTTTATGTACTTCTTATTACATTTATTATGTCAGCTTACCACTAGTTCTTTCTGTTGTTTCTGTCACAGTCATAGGCGGAACTACTTTCGACTCCGTTACAGTTGTCATAGGGTTTATGGCAGAATATTCTAAAACAATGCACAAAAATAAAACAAATGTTCATTTACTATATTCATCATGCAAAATATCGTCACGATAAACAATATAATGTAGGAAGTGGTTCAAAGTTTAATTATAATTCTGTTACATATTAAAAAGATTTTAAACATACAAAATCGGTTCACTATTACCATTAAAGGTAAATCATAAATTTTGTTGATTAAATCGTGTCAGAAAACTCGTGTTTATTCAAAAAGCTGACCACTATTGAAATTCTATCACCCCTGTATAAGCTTTGCATAAATTGCGACAGCTTTGTATTAATTGTCTTAATGAAAGCAATGCATTCATTTTTTCCGATTTGCGGAATGTAATTAGCATTTTTTTCCTAAGACAGAGCGTACCTGTTGACGAAACTGAAGGCAGTGTTTCAGAAGAAACTGTAGTCGATGACGTTATTTTCGAAGTACATTTCTTTTCTGAAAAAAAATATGAAAAAAGACAAAACGTGTTATTGTCGAAACACACACACAAACACACACACGGACGCACAGCCGCATGTACGAACAAATACACAGCAATAAATGATAGGGATCGTATCTGAATGACTTATTTGGATGATCTCGGGCCGGGCATAAGCCCTCGTTTTCAAATGTACGAGGACATAGAAAAAAGCAATCATTAACAGACATATTATGTATATCGTACAAATAATTCCTTTAACTTTTTATTTAAATTTAATTTTTATTATACTTTGCTGCTTTAGTATTTTTGCAATAAGTATAGTAAAAGTTATTTAGTATTTTTAATCGAAGTCAAAATATCACTTTAAATTCTTTATACTTTGCTATTTTCTTGACAAATTATTTCACTTCAAGCGCTACTTTATCCAAGTGTTACAAATGCAATATTCTTCTAATTCCATTATTATAACTTTCTTAAACACATGTTTGCTATTTCATAAAAAGAATATATGTTCCTGTCGCAGATGCTTTTAGTTTTATTCACATCTTTAGAGTGAAATGATTGCAAATAAGGAAGTTTTTACAACATAAAATGATAACAATAGTACACCATAATAATTTGCACAGGCAATCAAAGTTGTATCTAGATAATAATTATTGAAGATATAGCGATGCCCCAATGATATGTATCAAATCTGACCGGTTTTCTGAACCTGCTCACTAATCTATAACTAAGACGCTAAAACTGAATACAGAATTTCCTTCACGTAAATTATGAACATTTACCATCTGTATAAACATGTATGTATTGTAAGATAAAATCGTACTTCCTGCACTCTTTAACATTTCCTTCTTTGTCGTTTTTGCCTGAAAACAATTTTATTTGAATGAGCTGATGTATTGAACATTATACCAAAATACTAATTGATCACGTTATTCAAAGTTTATTGTATCCATTTACTTCATTTCCGCTGAGTCGAAATAAGACGAATTTCCATTCGCATAAGGAAAATTAAAATACTATTGATAAACAGGTATGCTACTGCATAGAATTTTTTTACAGCAGTAACTTCAATGTAGGAATTGTAAAAGAAATAAAATATATTTATATAAATTGCTGTTGGTTTAACAAAATTCTTTATCTATGAATATTTCTCACGAAATATTTTTAGAGTTTTAGAAAGGCAAAATATGTGTTATATGTCCTATCTTGAAGTGAGATTGCTTCGAGCATTAATTTAGGATATGTCACCACTCACAAATTTCACGCCGGGTATACAACAGATTTGGCTTTCGGATGTGTACGGTAAATCGCTCTATCGCTACTCCGAGTTGGTGCATGTCGGCAAATTTGATTGTCAACAAAGGTACGGTTTTGCTATTGCCTCATATTTTCGTTTAAATATTTTCATATTTTCAGATTAAAATCGAATACGTTGATGTCTAAATACAATACAAATTTAACCAGAACCAAAGCTTGCACTGGACATCTAAGGTATTTATTTTGTGAGACAGGAGATAGTCGCCAAGGAGATAGCTCTATATATACTGGTTATATGCTTATTTCAAAAGGTATCCTATGTGATGGTTAACACTCGCAGGTATGATAAATCGAGTAGGAAAACGTAAAGCCTGGTTTCCAGTCCGTCGATTTTTAAATGTGTTTCTGTTCGACAAATCGACATATCGTTGATATTTCCAAAAACACGACCGAATATGATATAGTGCGTATGTTATGAAAAAGCAGAAAATATCAACGCCAGAAGCCAAGTGCTTGTTTGGAGATTGCGTATTTTTAAAATATGAGACTGCATATCCTGTATATCTAGTTGCGAGACTTTACACATGTTTTATATGTTTTAAATCATTCTGAAGTTGTGACATGTTACACAAAGAAATAAAACCACTTCGTTCATGATGTTAATTAACTCTTAAAGATATACTATGCACATTTTTGGGTAAAATATTTTTATCTTAGAAATGTATTGAAATCCATGAAATTCTTACTAAATATGTTTAATTTGAATAAAATAATGAATAAACTATGTATGGAAAGCTGCATTCCCTATTACGGGTCAAGTTAAGTTGGTCTTTTCTTAAAAAAACTGCCAGTTTTTTTAATGACACTATATATTCATATTGTGACCACCTATAGTGTGTAGAGTTCAAAACATAACATATCTACTTTAAATGAAGTCGAAACATGTTTATTTTATACATACAAAGAGACTGTGTAGCAATTACTAACATTTTTTAAAAATCAAATTTGAGCATAGTATATCTTTAAGCAGGAGTAAATTGCTAACCTAAAACAATTACAGTGCAACTCACTCTTAGCGAACTCAGATACAGCGTACACCACTTTCGCTAGGTCCAGATATTTTCCTTTCTTGATCTTATATTGTCATCAGTGGGCTCATTTCGGAAAAGAATTGACACGCATTTAAATACATGTTCTCTTTAAATAAACTTACAAAAGACCTAATCATTCCAATAAATATATCATTCGACTTACTTGATGCATATGTTAAACCCATTATGAATTATAGCTCCGAGCTTTGAGGAGTTTCGCCTGCTGATAAAATCGGAAAGTTCACCCGAAGTTTCTTAAAAAAACACTGTTCTTAAAAAACACTGAATATTAAAATGACAACAAATAATAAAGCTCTTTATGGAGAAACCGGAAGATATCCTTTTATAATATATAGAAAGCCACGGATTTTGAAGTACTGGTTTTAACTTATTAATAGTTTTAACAAAAACAAAATACTATATACACTATATTGAAATGTTAAGAGTGTGAAAATGGCAAAACAAACTGGTTACCCCGACCTCTGGTTATTTCGAGACTCGATCATCAATGTTCCATATTTCTTGGAATTAGTTAAAATCCGTTTAAATGATATATACATTTCACAGTGGAAAGAAGGCGTGCGAATTTCGAGTACACTAATGCTATTCAAGGAAATAAAAGAGAGTTTTGAATTGTCTCCATATTTATTAATTTTAGACAATCAAAAACATAGGCATGCCCTCACAAAACTAAGACACATATCTCAAATTAAGTTTAATATAGAAAAGGGGAGACATAGACATATAAGTAGGGAGGACAGAAAATGTTTAATGTGTTCAAGAATGACTTAGAAGATGAATATCATTTTGATTGTGTGTGACGCTTATAAGAGTTTAAGATCAGAAATATATACAAACAGAACAAGTCTGTTTAAATTAATAAGTTTGTTAAAAAGCTAAAATGCATTTTCCATAGACTTTCCATTTTTATTGTGAAGTCTTTTCAATAAAGGGATTCTAAAACGAATACTCAAAATTAAATATCACTATATAGATGTATACTCTCTCATGTGCAACAAATTAAAACAAGTTAAATACATTATATCTACTCGTAATGGTGTATATAATTCAATCCATGTTTTTTGTATCCTACTTATTTATTTGTTATTATTGTATATGTATATGAATGTACTAATGATCCTGTAATGTTTATGGTTTTATATCATATATAAGATGCTGGAATTAAGATGATTTATCAATATTTTATGTTCCAAAAAGCATAATTTATAAAGATATTACCGAATATATCATTTCGTGTAAATAAAGAGAAATAATAAAGTTTTTAACAGAAATTTATTTTCTATAAAGTCCAATAAGAAATGAATGCATATATTTTAATGTGCACCAATATTTGAAATACATATTTTACATATTCTTCGATGTTTGAAAATTGTTTTATTGGCATAATTGTATACATATATAAAATTTCACTAAAGTAGGGTAACAACATCAATAACAATCAATACCATCAATACAGGATCTTTAATGGTTGATGATGATAAGCTTTAATGCTTAAATCTAAAATAAATTTTCTGTTCTGTTGTAATCTTTATTTGAGTCTCATCCTTACATAACAACATAAAACAATTCAATTGCATAATTTAACAAATTAAAAGTCTTTCAGAATTACAAGAGACTGTAAGGAGGCAGGGGACATATCCTTATGATGGCCCGGACAATTGTTTAATAACTCAGACATGGTGTTTTGAGGGTACTGGAAACCTTTGATATTTCTCTGTCACTGCAATTCTTTCTTATTTGTGTGTAGGAACTTAGCACTGTTTTAGGGTTTTTACCCGAAACTAAGCATTTAATAGCTTTGTATGGATTTTTGAATTTCCGAATGGAACTAAAAAAGTTAAAAATCAAGCTTTGACAGTTGGCGCCAAACAAGTAAGAAACCTTGGATATATTATGTGGGAAATTTATACGTATGACCGACAGTTTCTTGGACATTTTTGAAAATGCCGTTGATTGCACTGTGTGTTAGATATATTTTTTAAGGAATCTGGCGAATTCTGGAGTATACTACACCTTCATGAAGGTGTCCCGTATTAATATATTTCAGGTGTGATTTTTGTTGGGTGGGGGTAAATATAAATTGCTGTAAGTCACTTTTTTTAGGAGCAATGCATGCAAATTATTATATTCTTCAATGTATGTCATATAACCTTGAATAATGTTGTGCATCTGGCTATCTGCCTGTGAAAAATATTTTGAAATATTTGGTTTTGTGTTTCTGGCCACACTGAACTACAAAAGTGTTCATTTTTAGGTCTCCTAGATATTGAAAGGGAGGCAACTCTGCAAGGAATATCTACGTAACTTACAGAGTTACATCTCTTCTCAATTCATATTCATATAACAACTAAAATTAAAAAAAAAAACTATTGCTAATCTTGTTTTTAAAGAATATAATATAATACAATAGTTCACTCAGCATTAAACATTTTACAATGGTTTAGCATGCGCAGTATACATGTACAAAGGGGACGTGGTTAATTAACAGAAGAGTCTTTGCATGATTATCAATATTTATTAATACTTGAAGATAATGTACTTTAAATGCATGGAGAAGGATTGAGCATCTTCCCTCTGAATATATTTTCCGGTTTCAATACTAAAGTTATATATATGACAAGGTTCAGAATCTAGTAAATGCTATTCGGTGTTTATTTTCAAAATGATATTAAGGTATTTCTTAACCTCAAACTCATGTCTAAATGTCTAGTCCGCATTTCGATTCGAATTTATACATAGAACAAAGTTTGAACTTAGACTTATTAATTTGAAAGCCAAATAGGTTTTTTTTTTAGATTTTAAGTGTTTGCCTGACCAGGACGTTATGGAACCCCTTCAAAAGTAACTTTCCTCATTTGTGTATAAAAATAAATGTTTCAAATTTGATTGCATTATTTTCGGCAAACCATTATTTATTGTTCATTATTGTTGTTATTTTGTATTGTTGATTTTCCTGAATAAATAAAGTTGAGTGCGTTTATTATGCGCTCGTTTTATGTAAATAAAATGGTCAAGGTTTATAACTTCAATATTTGTCCTATGTTTGCCCACTTTGTGTAAAACCTTGGCAGACAGAAAACGCTAGGCGTTAACATTAGAAACAAATTTGCAATTCTCAGAGAGATAGAAAAATAAGTACAAAAAGTAAACCTACATGTATGCGTCTTAAGGTAGTGCACCCCTAATGGGCACTATCAGGAATTGTAAATTTGACAACATAGGACAGTTATATGCCTTAAATGTGACCTGTATGCAAAATTTAAACAAAATTTACCGTGTGGTTTATGAGTTATGGACATTTTTATGAACTAAAACTTTGCCATTAGAAGGGATTTTTTCAGAAATGAGGAAACTCTAAATAATCTATAATATCATCATTATGAAAAATGTTTTCCTTTTGCTCATTGTTAAGAAATAAATAATGACATTTAGGTAACAAATTAAAC